GAGCTCGGCCACCAGCTCATCGGCCACCTCGTTGTAGGAGGTGGTGCCCTTGCGCTGCACCTTCTCGCAGACCTTCATGGAGAAGTGGCGCAGGCCCTTGCCGCTCTTCTCCCCTTTCCTGCTGCGCTTCCTTGGGGTAAAGGACCGCACGGGTCGGCTGCCGCCTCAGGTGGAACGGCCCCCGAGCCCGGAAGCGGGCGCAGCACCCTCGGGGGCTTTCCGGGTCACGGAACGGCCTGCCAGCCACGTGTGCTCGAGGGTCAAGGACACCAGGGAGCCTGTGCGTCCTGACTCCTGTGCACACAAGGTGTCGGAGACCAGGCTGTTTCGGACGAACCTGGGGTGCCCACAGTGATCCAAGCAGGCTGCCTCGCCCCGGGAAACCGGGCCACAGGCAGGGCAGACCTGCGGTGAATGCCGGGTCCCACAGCAGGGCGGGTAGGGTGGCAGATGGGGCGGGAGCTGCTCACCCAGCGGACCACGGTGAGGAGTCGGAGGGCGGGTTCTGAGAGACGAAGTGGGCGCTGGGCGTGTGCGGGCTCCCCACCACGATGGTGCTGGGCGCTGCGGGCCTCTGCGGCGTGCTGACCACCTATGTGGAGACAGTGGGGACAGGGACCCATTAGAAACACCGCCCAGCCGCACCCCACCCATGCAGCGCGGCTGCTGACCCCTGTGGTCTGGCCTACCCCCAAAGGGTCTCCTCGTCCAACCCCAAGCACACAGGCCCAACGGGAACCAGCAGGCGGCCTGGCACCGAGCCAGCGAGGCTGGGCGGGGCCCGCAAGGCCTGCCCTCCACCGGCCCTGGACCCCGTGATGATGTGATTCAGACAGTGCTGCACCCCGGTACTAAAATGGAGCCAGGAACAACACCGGCTTCCAAAGCCAGGGCGCATGTGCTCGGGGAGTGCACCCGCCACCTGCGCAGAGCGACTGCCGCCTGCCTGGACGTGCTAATGGCCCCTTGGCCTCGGTTCCACCAGGTGGCGCTCCTGCTCACACTGGGGCCAGACACCGTCTCACACAGCCCATCAGCACTTGGAGGTTCTCCAAGATGGCATCCTGTCAGCGTCTGGTCATCTCGTTTACCACGAACGAGCACACCGCAGTGACGGCCTGCCAGCTGGACGCGACGGTACAGCTAAAGGGGCCCAGGCCAGCCTCAGTCAGGTCAGTGTGCTGGACACCGCCCCTCCTCACAGGAAGGCAGGCCGAGTCCTGCCCTGGCTGGGGCGGCTGACGGGCACTTTGGAATTGCTGTAAGCCCCAGTCGCCTGTCAGGGCGGAAGCGTCACTCGATCCCCCTTCCCGCTGTGTCTGAGCACGGGCGTGCATTCACCTACTTGTGTGTCTAAAATTAAGGGTCAAGGAAGGCTTTCACTGTATACCGCCCTCCTCCCTCAGACACAGAACAAAACCAACAAACTTTCCAAGGAGGAGCGGGGACAGGACAAGCCCCTCGGGGCAGGAAATGTCCCCTGAAGCTGCAATCTGTCCCACAAATGCAGGGCCTGGGATGGCCCCTCACCAGATGTGGCGATCGTAAGAGGCCCTGGCTCCCCAGGTGACACTCAGAGAGAGGTGAGGGCAGTGACGGCTCTGCCTGGCAGTGCCAGCTGGCCACGCGCCCCCATGGGCACTTACACCGCTCTGAGAGCCTGGAGGAGCCCTCTCTTTGAGTCTCCAGACCGCATGGTTAAGACAGTGACCCTGTCACTGTGGTCCTTAGACCTGGGGTGCACACGTGTGCGGCGGAAGTGGCACAGGCAGTCCAGCAGGCACGGTGAGGCGGCCCGTGCCGTGACGCCTTATCCGGAGGTCTCTGGGGGCTGCCGTGCGGAGGAAAGGCTGTGGAGCTCCGGGAGCCGGGCAGGCTCTTCACACCTCACCGCACTGGGCACACAGGCACGCAGGGTGCCCAGAAAGGCCACCCAGAGCTGCGTCCTGACAGGCCCTGGGCTTCCCTTCTCTGTGGGACTCTGGAACTCGGGCTGCACCAGCCGCTGTAGGGTGCAGAGGTCTCTGGGGGCTGCCGTGCGGAGGAAAGGCTGTGGAGCTCCGGGAGCCGGGCAGGCTCTTCACACCTCACCGCACTGGGCACACAGGCACGCAGGGTGCCCAGAAAGGCCACCCAGAGCTGCGTCCTGACAGGCCCTGGGCTTCCCTTCTCTGTGGGACTCTGGAACTCGGGCTGCACCAGCCGCTGTAGGGTGCAGAGGGCCCGCCTCAGGCATGGCTCCCCCCCCCTCCCCCCAACAACCCC